AAAACTCCTTGCAAAACTGGATGCATGGAGAGAATAGCTTTTCCTCCTCAACGAAAAGCACGAGATTTCACAAGGGCTTTGTGCGCTTCTCTAAGTCAAACCACGCTTCAGGCAGAGGAAACTGCAGCTCACGTAAAGTCAGCCTCACACAGAGCTCGGTTAGCGCAAAGGCATTGGGACCAGTGGAGTTGTAGGGTCTCGCTGAAAAAAGCTCATGAGCAACAGGTTTACTTACCGTGAATCCTTTCAAACGAGACTGAGTGACGAGCTGGTTAAACAAGCCTGGGTGGAACACCCCCTTACCTGTCCTTGTCCTCAAAATTAAAGCCCAGCTCTACACTTGTGAAGTTTTTTTTGAGGTTTATTGTGCCCTTTGTTTTAAAAGCCTACACATCCATCCTCCTGCAGCAGCTACGAAAAGGGCTGCTGTGTGCGAAGCCATCGCTCCTAAGAGCAGGTAGTCTTTTACAAAGGATGTATTTTCTCTCCAATTCCCTGCCACAAAGAGCAACACGGCGGGAGTCGAGGAAAACAAGTACTTCTCTGTGCCCGTGTCAGAAAGACGTAAGGAAAATAAGGAAAACTTTCTGCATCAGTGATGCTAAACCGCTTCCCTACGTGCCTGGCTCCCAGGGGAGAGGAGCAAACCTCTAGGGAAATTCAAGCAGTGCCTTCATCAATTCCATCGCCGCCAGCCGCAGCCCACGTCTAGATGTGGTAGAATCACACCCTCCGCCCAGCCCATCCGACGCACAAGATGCTGCCTTCAAGGTGTTACACCTGCCTTGGCATCTGCCGCCACCGCCGCCAGGAGCTGCGGGGCTCTCTGCTGTGCTCCTATGCACTGGGAACATCCTGCTAGAGCCAACTGAACAATTCCCTGCATTATGTCTTTGCCTAACGAGGCTGTTTTGTCTTGTTTGTGACTTGTCTTTATGTTTTGTAAACTGAGCTTACAAGAGAAAAGGCCTCAGATCTGTAATCTGGGAGGAGAGAGGGACAGCGGTCGTTCCATCAGTAAAACTGGAGAAGACAATTAACAAAGGTAGATTTGCGTTGTTCCTTCCAAATGGAATTCCCCATGGAATTTTTAAAAAAGGCAGCAGTGGAACCTATCGCAGGAACCGAGACCATCCTCTGCGGATTTTTTCCTCGCAAATTCAAAGGAGTCGTGGCAAGGGAAGGAGTTGTCATATTGCACGTTGCTGCCTCTGAAACTAAGATATTTAGGTCATCCATATCGAGCCAAGACATGCAAATCTTGTTCGTGTCCCCACTGCTGAGCACGGGCTGGGCTGAAGGCTTGGTGCTGGTGACCCTTGGTGTACGTTAGCGCTGGCCTCTTTGTTCATATCTCATTGCATGACCTGGTTAGTGTGCTCTCTCTGCTGTCATTGGGTGAGGAAAATTGGATTGCAGTGCTCAGAAATTGCCTCAGGAGTGACAAAGCAAACGAAAGTGGCTTGGGCATCTTAGGAAATAGAAGCAGGACGGGGAATACGGAGTTTTGTGCTTGGGATAACTGTCAGTGTCCGTACAGTCCGCGTGACGGTTAGCACCGAATCACCAGGGAAAACAGAAAAGATCGAATCGACTGTGTGTTGCAGAAATGACCGGGTCTCCTCCTGTTCTCTAGTGAAGAAAAGATAGAGTTTATGCGTGTGTTTCTACCTGGGCAGGGGCTTGACCGTAGCATCCTTTCTCCCTCAGGCTCAGCAGAAAGCTCTTGGCGCTTCACGTCAGCGAGGGGAACGCGGCTGCGCAATGAGACCTGAACAAATTCAGTCTCTTGTGCTGGGCAGGAAAAGTTAACTGGACGTTTAATTGGTGTAAGTGGTGATTCCCCTGTGACGAGGCTGCTGGGGCTGTTTTCCGTGTTGAGGTATACACTATTTGCAGGCGTAAGGATTGTAAATACTGATTCTGAAATAGGAAGTGACGCTGAGAATGCCGGTGTTTTAAGAGCCCTGCCCCTTAATGACAGACCCAACATAAAGCAGGAAGAAGCAGCACTAATGGGTCCAAAAGCAGTTGATGTAATTTATAGCCCTTCATATAAAGTGGCAGGAAAAGGTGGATTTTTAAGACCAGAAGCTTTCCCAGGTAAATGAGGGTAAGTGAGCAGAACAGTGGTTGTGTTTACTCAGCTAACTGGGAGAGCTGGAGGAAAAATCAACACGTAAAGATCAGGAAGGCAGGTCAGGCAGCCTTAGGACACTTTGCAACTTGTTTCTGGAATCTGGGAGGAATAGAGGATTTTTACTGTAACTCTCATTTCCTACAGGGTTGTGTTGGTTGTGCTGTGTGTTTATTCTGTTTATGACTGAACTCCTTCTTGGGAAAACACTCTCGTTTCCTAACAGGTATTAACGCAAATTAATCAAATTGTATAAGAGAAGCAGAAGGATTTGTGTAGGATCCTTATGTAGTATTGCTGCTATAGGAAGGTCAGCTTCACCTAACCACGAAGCCCAGCTCAGGAGTAAGTCCTCAGCTTCTGTTTCTTAACCAAACCCGATGTCACCCGCAGTGCTCGCTGCCTCACGAGGGCTGGCAAGGGGCAGGTAAGTACAGTCACCTCCAGACTGATGGGCTCTTGGTTTAACCTGCGAGCAGTGTTCATGTATTTCTCCATGCTTTGATTTTAAATAAGCAAGGGTGGTAAAAATGTCAT